CACGGAGTGGGCGTGTCCACAGGTCCTTCACCTACTCCCCTGAGCCCCGGTCCTCAATCCGCCCTGAAGATTCTTAAGTGGCCTGGGGCCCAAATGCTCAAATCTCCTGGGGCTTGCCGCGTCGTACCGGGGATCCGGCGCATCTGCTCGCATGACTTCTTCGGGCTAAAGGGGGCCCCAACACGAGCCCTGAGGGCCACAAGAGACCCCCAAGCGGCCCCCAAGAGGCCCCCAAGAGGCCCCCAACACGGTCCTAGAGAGCCCCGAGTCGCCGAACGATCGGCCCAAGGCGCCCAAGATGGCCTCGAGGCGGCCCCAAAGCTTCCCAAACACCCCAAGAGGCCTTCCAAGAGGGCCCCAAGGAAACACAGTTGATCTCCCTTGGGGAAAGGTCCCCGAGAGGGCCCGAGACGGCCTAGAGGGCCCCAAGACGGCCCAAGAGGCGCCCAAGACTGCCAAAGAAGGCCCGAAGACGTCTCCAAGAAAGGGCCCAGATGGGCACATCATCCCCCTGACGCCTCAGCGATCGGGGCACCGCGGAGCGTGGGCGATGGCATCGCGGCGCGCGGAGGCGGCCAAGGGCCGCACAGCCTGGCGCAGCCGTGCCCGAGAAGCAGGAGGAGGAGGAGGAGGAGGAGGAGGAGGAGGAGGACGAGGACGAGGAGGAGGAGGAGGAGGAGGAGGAGTTCTGGAGTTCTGGATATAGCGACCAGGTCGGTTACTGGAGACAGGCCTCGTATCGGCGAGCATGCGAGACACACACACGCGCGCGCACGCGCAAACACACGCGAGGCGAGGCATCAAAAGGCAACAAAAGCACCGACATGCCTGGCAATAGAAACTGACAACTCGCGATTGTGAAAGAATATATCACATCTGCTTGCAAGCATGCTTCTGGTCGCTGGCACCGTCGGGACGCTGAGGACAAGAGAGAACTGGACGACAACGGCATACCAGAAGCTCCCCTGAGCACAGCCTTTCATGTTAGGGCCAAGCCTGGGGGGCACGTTAGCTCACGTAGAACAACCCCCGCACGCCCCCGATGCAACCCAATAATACAGATGTTCGATTGAACTTGATTGTGCCGAGATTGAAACTGAGTGACGGTGCCTCACCAGACCCAGTAGATAGCGAGAGAGCCGACATGAGGGAACTGAAAGACAACGGCACCCCAGAGGCAACCCTGAGCACAACCTTTCACGCTAGGGCCAAGCCTGGGGGGCGCGTTAGCTCACGTAGAGCAACCCCCCACAGGCCCCCGATGCAATACCAAGAACAATATACAATTGAACTGGATTGTGCCGAAATTGAAACTGAGTGACGGCGCATCGCCAGACCCAGCAGCTAGCGTGAAAGCCGACATGTGGGAACTGAAAGACAACGGCACACCAGAAGCAACACTGAGCACAACCTTCCATGTTAGGGCCAAGCCTGGGGGGCGCGCTAGCTCACGTAGAACAACCCCCGCAGGCCCCCGATGCAACCCAATAATACAGATGTTCGATTGAACTTGATTGTGCCGAGATTGAAACTGAGTGACGGTGCCTCACCAGACCCAGTAGATAGCGAGAGAGCCGACATGAGGGAACTGAAAGACAACGGCACCCCAGAGGCAACCCTGAGCACAACCTTTCATGCTAGGGCCAAGCCTGGGGGGCGCGTTAGCTCACGTAGAGCAACCCCCACAGGCCCCCGATGCAATCCCAAGAACAATATACAATTGAACTGGATTGTGCCGAGATTGAAACTGAGTGACGGTGCATCACCAGACCCAGCAGATAGCGTGAAAGCCGACATGTGGGAGTGAAAGATAACGGCACACCAGAAGCAAAACTGAGCGCAACCTTCCAGGTTAGGGCCAAGCCTGGGGGGCGCGTTAGCCCACGTAGAGCAACCCCCGCAGGCCCCCAAAAGGGAAAATTCAGCTCTGTTTGCAATTGCTCGCAGTGGGCGACTCGTCGGGCAGAACTGGCGGTGGTCCTGCCACTGTCGTCATCTCAGCCGCTGCCCTCGCGAAGCCCGGGAACAAGGCCCCCACGTCGAGCGGTTCCGAGGATGGCACCGTCGAGGCCGGGTGGGCCGGAGACGACAGAGGCCGGGTGACACGCCGAAAGGCACCGATGTCGCGCACGAGCCTCGCCCTCTCGGGACTGGCGTACCAGGTCCTCGGTCTTGGCACCCGAGCTCCAGCCAGCCGCAAAGACATCCGCCTCCTCTGCGGCGAAACGCGGGGAAGTCGCCTCGGGCGCCTGACGATCCAGGCGTGCGCGCCGACGCAGGAAGGGTCGCTGTCGCCCCCGCGCGGCGCGCTCCGAACGAGCTTGCGCCCAGGCCTGCACCTCCTCGTCCCGTTCGCAGCAGAAGGACCTCGCCTCCTCCAGCTCGCGTTCGGCCTCGGCGGCGGCCGCGGCCACCCCTCAGAGCCGTCCGCAGAGGGTGGGGGTGGGAACCCTCCCGCGGGAAGCTGACAGCACTGTCCCTCGACGAAGTCGGACGCCTGCTTGACGTGCGGCACCACGGTCAGCTGCCCTTTGCGTGGAGTGTTGGTGCCACGTGGCACCCCTGCCAGAGGCCCGTTGTACGAGGAGAAGATGACCGTTCCACAAGTGCATCTCAAACCAATCTCCTGCAACGGTCCACTCGCCAAGGGGATTGGAAACCAACAACCAGCGCCTGGTCGAAAGACTTCAGCTTCTGATATCATACTGGCGACCTCGCCCACAGAGGGAGCGTGTCGCGGTGTTTTGACACCTTGCAGCTGCTTCTTGAGGTCAGCAATTTCTTGACGTAATTTCTGAATGAGACGATCGGCCGATGCACGTGCGCCTGCTCGGCCTCTCAAGCCAGTTTTAGCGCGCCACCAATCTGGGCCGCTTCCCGTAGCCAAGCCTCGTCGTGCGAGTTCGCCCCATTCTTCGCCAACCATCCGTGAATAAACAGTTCAGGTTTCAGCAAACACGCGACGCCAACGCGATGGGACGGGACGGGAGGACATGAGCGCGTTTGAGCCAAAACGGATCCCCGCGCCCAGGGCCCCCCTTGCTGTGCTTGGGAGGAGGAGGAGGAGGAGGAGGAGGAGGAGGAGGAGGAGGAGGAGGAAGGTGGAGGAGGAAGGAGGAGGAGGGAGTAGGAGGAGGAGGAGGAGGAGGAGCTGCAGCGAGCGCGGGCCGACGAGCCCTCTCTCTCTCTCTCTCGGGGACGCGACGGCGGGCCCGCTCGGGCAGGGGGGGAGGGCCGTGGCCCGCTCGGCCCGGCAGCAGGGCCGCAGGCGGAGCCCGCTCGGGCACCGGGGAGCTGGCTCGCGGAACGGGGCGGGGGGGGAGGGGGAGCGAGGGGGAGGGAGGAGGGAGGAGGAGGAGGAGGAGGAGGAGGAGGAGGAGGAGGAGGAGGAGGGGGGAGGGAGGAGGGAGGAGGGAGGACGGAGGAGGGAGGAGGGAGGAGGAAGGAGGAGGAGGGAGGAGGGGGAGATGGGGGAGAGGAGGGGGGAGGACCACATAGCCTCCCCCCCCTCCGCAGTCCTCCCCTCCACAAGTACACCTCAGCGAGGACTGCGCTCCTCTCCCCCCGGACGGCATCCCGAAGGCGCTCGGCCCCCCTCCGCATGCTGCGTCTTTTGGCACAGGCTCCCCGGGAACTGGGTTTTCGCCTGCGTCTGTTTGACAACATGTTGCTCCCGCAGAAGCGCTGGCCTCATTTCCGGCCTTCCGCTCGTTCCGAGTCGTGTTCCCGCTGCCGCTGCAGCGCTGGCCTTCTTTCCGCGCTTCCGCTCGTTCCGAATCGTGCTCCCACTGCAGCGTTGGCCTCATTTCCTGGTATTCATACGTGTTTTCGGCGATCCCATTCTTTTCGGTCCTTCAAAATGTTATTCCCGCTGCAGCGCTGGCCTCATGTTTGCGCCTCTGGTTGTTCCAAAACGTGCTCCCGCTGCAGCGCGTGCGTTTTCGGTCCTTCCAAACAGGCCCCAACTCTAAAAAAATACCCCCAGGAAAAACCATCGCCAGTGGTTACGCATCCGGAGTCGATTCGTTGAGTTTTTGGGCCGCAGGAGGCTTCCCTCTTCGGGGCGGCGGCGTTTGGAGGAAGTCTCCAGCAGGAGCCCCATTTCTGTTTGCAGAAGGCGGTGTTGCAAACAGAGCCAGCGGAGGTCCTCTCCATCAGCCCCGCCTTGTGGGGAGCTTTTCGCGGAGCACAGGGAAGCTAAACATAGAGCCGCGACTCCAGAACGGCCCAGACCCTTCGAAGAGTATCCGCTTACCCTCTAGGAAGCCCAGTGCCCTGCCATGACATGCTGTGCGGTGTTCTGTTCTGCGCCGCTGTGCGATGCCACGCTTTGTGTTGCAGTGCTTTGCGATGCAATGCTTCACTACGCAATGCCAGGCCAAGCTATGTTATCCTACGCTCTGCCGTGCTCTTCTACGCCATGCAGTGCCGTGCTCTACGATTCATCGCGCACCCTCTCGCGATCGTTGCACTGCTCGGCATCCGACTGTGCGAATAGAGGGAAGATCTACGCCATGGTAAGGGATGGGAGGGAAAGGTAGGACGAGAGATATGACGCGAGCGCACCTGGCCTGCCCCTTCCCCCTCCCTCCACCCCCCTTTGAGATCCGACGTCACGAAACACAGGCAACGTCGTGAGAAATCAAAATCCGTGCCGTGGACCCCGATCTCCCCGTGGCATCCTCAAAACCGCATCGAGCTGTGATGGGCAGGGTACTCGGGGTTTCTTCATAAGCGTGGGGGGGTACCCCCCCCGACGGGGGTCAACCTCGCCTCGTCGTCGCGCCGCGACGGGGGTCGGATCGCCTTCGGCGCGCGGTGGCTGCCCGCGACGGGGGTCGATGTGGGGCTGCCGGCGGGGGTGACGCCCTCCCGACGCTTGTTAAGAAACTCGGAGTGCCAGCAACGTGCGCAGACGCCCTGATCTCAAGATTCCCCGCCCCTTCCTCCACCCTCATTCCCCCTGCCCTTTCCGCTGGAGGGCGGCGGGAGCCGGCAGCCTGGACCTGCTCCATGTGCGGGTAGGCGCCCCCGGGGCTCTTTCTCTCGAGGTTCTGCTCCACAGCGTCGAGCTGCTCGGCGCACTGCCTGGCAGGGAGCAGGAGGAGGAGGAGGAGGAGGAGGAGGAGGAGAAGGAGGAGGAGGAGCTAAGGCACTGCACGAGGATGAGGAGGAGGAGGAGAAGGAGGAGGAGGAGGAGGAGGAGGACGAGGAGGAGGAGGAATGGGAGGGGGAAGAGGACAAGCTAGGTGCGCTCCCGCCAGTTCAGAGATCCGACCCCTTCCACCCATCCGTTCCTGTTGCACGGATGCTTGTCCCATCCGCCGAAGGGTGTCCTGGCGGACATGGGTCCCCAGAGGATAGGAAGAGGGAGGTATGGACGAGGAGAAAGTCGGATCCAGAAATGTGGCCCGCACTGAGGCGAGAGCTCCATTCTGAAGGACGGGAGCAAAACGCCGACCCTGAAATGAGGTCAGCGCTGCAGCTAGAGCACCGCTCGGAAACACCGAAAACGCGCGGATCGAACAAAACAGCACACGAAAGACAACTGTTTGAATCACGGCGCTTCCAAACCGATGCGCGGAGGGAGTGGGGCATGTTCCGGACAGGGCCAGTGGAGAAAGCACTACTCATACGTGAGTTTTTGGAGGAGGAGGAGGAGGGGGAGGGCAATGAAGATAGTGGTAAACAGCGCCACAAGGTAACGCATTACAACCATATCTACACGTCATCGCCCCTTGTCTATACCGCACCGTCGTGGGGCATGCACTGCAAACCGTTTCAAGGAAAGACGCCCTGGCATACGGGCCAGTTTGTGAGACCAGAACGCGGACAGAACTGAACACTCGATCGACGACCCCTTGCGGGGCTTCGGGCCAGGAGTACCTGTTACGGGCTTCCAAGAAGCGAGCGACCAACGGTGCACCGCGTTGAAGCGTCGGGACGCGGCACAGTTCCTCTGGGCATCGTGCGTGTCTTCGTCGGCCGGGTGGGGGGGGGGGGCGGCCAGCCCCTGGTGCGCGCTCAGTCAAGTAAATGTCACAGAATGCTCCCTCATTCGGTCGTATGGGAAATCGCAAAAACGTCGGTCTCGGAGTGTTCAGTAGAATGACTCCAGCAGAAAATGGCAGAGCAAAACGAGCAGCAGCACGATGGATTGCGGCCTGGTTCTCGATATCTATGTCCTGGGGCACATCGTCAATGCCAAGAGCGCCCAAATTCTTGAGAGGTGGCGGTGCCATCAAATGTCGTAGCGCATCTGTCTGACTCTGCAGAGCAATAAGTTCAGCCGTCGCCGACCGCACATTTACCAGATACACGTCATGTAAATATATGATAGAATACGGGTTGCGCCAGACAGTTGCAGGCGCAGGCGCCCCGAATCAACGATATCTTAAGAACACGAATGCGAGCAGCTCGTTCCAACAGTTTCTGGCAGGGAGGGCCCGCCCGGACTCGCCCAACTCTTCGCGTCCGAGATAGATCCCGAGACACCCTGCGTCGATGCCAACGCAGAAGTCAAACGCGGGGACGCCGAGGGCAGCGAGATGGTCGGCGACGATGTGCGGGCCACCATCTTGGGTAACCACTAGCCAACACTTGCGGGCAGTAAGCTTGAGTCCGGTAATCAGACGGGCGTCTCCCATCCACTGCAAAACCGCCAGCATTGGCGCGCGTGGGCCTGCAGTTCCAAGTCCGATCTCGTGTGCGCATGCCAAGAAGGGCGCGCTGGATGTCCTTCGAGCCGCCGACGAAGCCCACTAGCCAAAGGATCCAATATCCATGCTGTCATCAAGCCCGAGAGTGGACATCCCTGCTTCATCCCACGCGAGATATAAAAGCCAGGGAGGCTGGGACCACATGAGGCAGCGGACACATCTATCTACCATACTACAGCCACTCGGCCGCCGACACGACGCGAGCTGGGACCCCGCCCCAATCAGCACGCAGAGGATCCACCAGCGGCGGAATGTCCTGGAAGAGCACCCCAGGGAAGTCGCACACGCGATAGCGGGTCCACTCCGCCACCCAAGACTCTAACTCCGCAGCGTCGCCCAGGGTGTTTCGGCCACGTGTGAACCCCCTACTGTGCGACCGCATCTTGGGCCAGCGTCTAGAAGGGCGCTGTCAATGCCGAGGGGATACGTTTGATGCCTGCGTGGCTGGGCGTAGGAGTTCTGGTTTGTCTAGGCTCGATCATCGTCCTGTGACCAGAGTCTGCTCTTCCTACCGTCGGCGAGAAAACGACCAGCCCGTCGTCGAACACCAAGGGCAGCACCGGGCCACTGAGGAAGGCGACGTTGGCCTCAAGACACAGAGACAATCGTGGGCCCCTCTTTCTGCCGCCCGCAACATGGCACCCAGTCGGGCCCCGCCGACGAGTTCTTCCCATTTATGATAACCGAGCGGAACTCAAACTGCTAAGGCACCCAAGACATGCCAGGCGAGACCTCCTGAAACTCGCGAGCAACTTCAGCTTGGAACCTAAGGCTGGGAAGAAAACGGCTTCAAGGCGCTCGCGAACGGCACGCCACTGTTCCGTTATAGTCTTCGCCGACTGCTCAAGAAAGGGCGGGAGGGCCAACTTCCGACGCCTTAGAAACCAACAACGCAGCACCGCCTGGAGCCTCGCCCGCATGGCCTCATCTTGACGCTCCGCCACCGTCGCAGGGTCACGTTGAAGCGAGCGCGCGCGCGCGCAACCATGTCACCGTGGAAGCCCCTGAGGTACTCATGGCCAGCAGAACATGCCGTCGAAGCCATCATGCATGCAATGAGATCACGAAGTGCGCGATGGATTCAAAGTGCGAAGATGTGACCGATGATGCGCACGAGCTGCGCGCACGAGTCTGCAACAGACAGCAGCTTTCGAACGAACAACTATGTGCCCTCTGCGATGCAGCTGCCGAGCGAGCACCCTCCTCGGCTGCTGATGTCGCGGCCTCGCACTTCTTTCTTCTAACACTCGAACGGCTCACTGCTCAGCCCACACTCGTCCAAGACGCCGTCCACCAGCTCTGTATATTCGGGATAAGAGGTGGCCCCGCGAGTTAAGGAAGGATGCCCAGCCCCAGGAGCGACCTGAACGTGCACAGGAATGCGGTCGGAGCAACTGTGCCTGTCGCGAACGAGCTCTGCTTTGTTGGACCGCCCATCCCATGCCAGTCCAGCACATCAGCTGCGAGGGCAGACCAGCGAGTACGATCGAGACGGCATAAAAGGCAAGACGGCATCCCCAACAACCTTGCAGCGTGTGGAGGCTTCTTGAGGGATCCCCGCAGGTCCACCAAGCATCCCATCGAATCGAGAGAGTGTGACACTGGTTTGAGATGGTGTTGTGACACTGCCATGGATCGCCTGCCTGGACTCGTCGCCTCAGGCAAATTCCCAGCCTCGTCTAAGACAAGCGAGACCTTTACTTCTGACCGGATCGCCTCAGGCCCAAACGATGTACCACTCTGTGCACGGCGCCAGCAGAAAGAGCGGGAGCCGAGTGCACATGACCTAGCGCGGTACACCAATGAGGCCCACAGACACGGACAACCAGGCCCGACCGCGGGCAACCTCCGAGACTCTGAAATCAGGGCTTCCGGAGCAGAGGTTTCCATCATAGCGACTAACGCAGACCCCGAGATGACCATGAGGAGGGACATCTCGCCTCAGTGGCTCCAGGTCCTCAGGGGTCCCATGTGTCTCATGCGTGTGCCTCTACAAGGCTTCGGCATGTGGCATGCTTCTGACACTGATGCTTGTGACTCGCATAACAACTACCTAGTAGAGCATGTACATGCCAGGGTCCTGTCCCCAACTTATCAGTAGCATAAGAGACCCTCCACGAATTCAGAATTCTCTCACTAAGATCTGGCAGCCTGGCGGCACCGCACTCGTCACAGGAGGAGGAAAAGGAGGAGGACGAAGATGAAAAAGGCGAAAGGGAAGGGGGACTGCAACGGCGCGCCTTCACTGCACGCTTTCCATGCTGGTCCTGGCTCCGAAGCTGTGCGGTAGGAGCAAGCTCTCCCACCGAGCGCGGCCCAAGAAAGCAACTCTGGTTCGTATCCAATTCGGTTCACCTCTAGCGCCGGCGAGCCATGAGCGCCGACACCCTCTCCGCCAACGAGTCGATGAAGGGTTTGCCTGGGCACACCGTGTTCAAGTCATTCATCGGTGTGATATCGAACGTGCCGCGTCCGCCGTCGTTCTCGGACCACACGTCCTCGGTAGCCGAATTGGACACACTGAGCACCCCAGCGAACGGATTCGATCCCAGTCGTATGCTGGGCTGCCGCAGCCTCTTCTCCTTCATCTGGTCCACGACAAGCTGCCAACACTGCACCAAGACAAAGGAACGATGTCTGATTGGCAACGAGTGGCCCCACCCAGCCCGCAGCTCCACGACCTGAGCACAGGATGGGTCCAGTTCAGGAAGGCGAAATCCGCGCGGGTGGCGGCATGGAAGAGTTGACCGTCATCCTCCTCCTCCTCCTCGAACTGCATGGTGTAGCTGCACTAGATGTTCTACACTTGTACTTTGCGTTTGTTGGCGCACTCGCTGACCATCTTCGTTCCTGTCACAAGGAAATGTTTCTAAAAAGTTGTGACCATCTTATTTGGGAAACCTCTGATCCGCACCTTCCTTTTGTTACGACCGTCGTCGCCCTGCACAGGAGGGGGGGGGGGGGGCACGACCTGGAGTTCCCTGCAGTAGAAGCAGACAAGGACAGCCAAGGATCGCTGCGAGAGAACACTCCACTGCCGGCAGACGAAGCAGCCGCCGCGGTAAGCGCAGCCTCTAGTTTGACCACCTTGGCCTCTGGCTCCACGTCCATGGTCGGCACCTGACGAAGGGCCGCGTGGCCGCCGTATGGGCCGTCCTCCATCCCAGCGTCCTCATCACATGCGCATGGCCACCTGCATCTCCAGCGCCGCTGTCCGAGCCGCGCTCGCCTGTGCGTCGGCCCGCGTGGCTCTCATTGCACCGCCGAGGTCGCGGAACTGCTCTGAGAACTTCGTGCATGAGGCTGTCAGATATAACATTCAAAAGCTGAGTTGCCTGCGCCCCTGCACCGGTTGCAGCTGGTCTGCCAGAAGCGCTGCAAGCCGCGGCCGCATCGAGAGCCAGCTGAGCAACTCGTGCCGAGCAGAACGCGAGATAGGCCCACCCTCATGGGGCTGCAACGCGCAGGCGTATCTGCAGTACCAAACTGGTGTGAGCGAGGAGGAGGAGGAGGAGGAGGTGGAGGAGGAGGAGGAGGAGGAAGGAGGAGAAGGAGGACGGGAATGAGGGGGAGGGGGAGGAGGAGGAGGAGCAGGAGGAGGAGGAGGAGGAGGAGGAGGACGACGAGGAGGAGGAGGACCGGGAGGAGGAGGAGGAGGAGGAGGAGGAGGAGGAGGAGGAGAGCGAGGAGGGGGAAGGCGGAGGAGGGAGGCAGCATGGGCCCTTGTGGGTTCCGAGGGGTCCTTGATCGTCCTCCCGATCCCCCGATTCTCCTCTCGTTCGACCTTCTCCCCTTGTTCATCGCCTGCTCCTCCACTTGCTTATGCTCCTCATCATGATTATCCTCCTCGTCCTTCCTCCTCGTCCTCCTTCCCGCTGCATCCCTAGCCCCCTACCTATACGACCACCCTTCGGGTGATAAGGAGGTTCGGGGGGGGGAGGAACCAACGTCTCACTCGATCGGTCTCACTATCGATCTCACTATCGATCTCAGTATCGGTCTCGCTCGATCGATCTCCCTCGATCGATCTCACAATCGATCTCACTCGATCTATCTCACAATTGATCTGACTATCGATCTCACAATCGATCTTACAATCGATATCACATTCGGTCTCACTATCGATCTCACTATCGATATCACAACCGCTATCACAATCAACGTTCATCATCATCATCAACAACATCAACATCAATATCATCATCACCAACATCATCATAATCGGGACACCGTCCTCATCATCAACACCAACATCATCATCACGGTCATCAACATCATCGGGACACCACCATCATCATCATCATCATCATCATCATCATCATCATCATCATCATCACCATCATCACAATCATCATCATCAACATCATCATCATCAGCAGCATCGGGACACAGTCATCGTCATCAGCATCATCAGCAGCAGTATCATCATCGGGGCACAATCATGATCACCATCGTTATCATCATCATCATCATCGGGACACCATCATCATCATCTCATCCTTATCATCGACATCACCATCATCAGCATCATCAACATCATCATCATCAGCATCATCATCGTAATCATCGGGGCACCATCATCATCGTCATTACCAACATCAGCATCAACATCATCATCATCATCATCACCATCGGGACGCCATCATCATCATCAACATCATCATCATCACCATCAGAAAAATCATCATCATCGGGACGCCATAATCATCATCAACCTCATCATCATTAACATCAACATCATCATCGGGACACAATCATAATCAGCATCTCAACATCAACATCATTATACTCATCATCATCGGGACACCATCATCGTCATCATCATGATCATCAACATAATCATCATGATCATCATCATCCTCATCATCGGGGCACCATGAGCATCATCATCATCGTCATCATCATCATCGTCGACATCATCATCATCACCACCATCATCATCATCATCATCGGGACACCATCATCATCATATCACCATCATCATCATCATCATAATCATGATCATCGTCCTCATCATCATCATCATCATCACCATCATCAGCATCACCATCATCGTCATCATCATCATCAGCAGCACCATCATCATCAGCATCACCATCATCATCATCATAATCATCATCATGATCATCGTCATCATCATCATCATCATCATCATCATCATCATATCATCATATCATCATCATCATCATCATCATCATCATCATCATCATCATCATCATCATCATCATCATCATCATCATCATCATCATCGCGGGACACCGCGGGACACCGGCGGGACACCGCGGGGCACCGCGGAGCACCGCGGGACACCGCGGGACACCGGCGGGACACCGGCGGGACACCGCGCGCCACCGGCCGCCCGGAAGAGACACATTTGGTCCGGCCGCGCCTCAGCCACAGGGACACCGACGGGACACCGGCGGGACACCGGCGGGACACCGCGCGCCACTGGCCGCCCGGCGGAGAATCATTTGGTCCGGCCGCGCCTCAGCCACAGGAGACTTTCCTCTCGCCCGCCCGCGCAGCTTCGCCTCGCCCGCACGGCACGCACGAACACGAAACCGAAATCGATTTCCCGGTAGGGGGGCTCTCCGTTCCACTTCGATCTCACCCCCTCACCTCCGATATTCATCACCCTGTCCTTCTCATGCATCTGCCCCCATCTAACCCTCATCTTCGTCCGCCGTCATCAGTATTGTCATCAATGGCGTCATCATCATCGTCATCACCATCATCATCACCATCGGCATCATCATAATCATGATCAGCATCATAATCATCATCAGCAGCAGCATCCTGCTCCACCTCCGCATCAGCAGCATCATGATCGTCATCATCATCCGCATCACCAGCATCATCTTGATCCTCATCATCAGCATCAGCATCAGCATTATCATTCATCATCAGCATCATCAGCATCATCATCATTATTATCAGTATCATCATCGTCATCGTCACCACCATCAGCATCACCATCAGCAGCACCAGTATCATCATCATTACGATCATATGCATCAGCATCATCATCAGCACCGCCACCATCCATCATCATGATCAGCAGCAGCAGAAGCAGCATCAGCAGCATCATAGACATCAGTATCATCGTCATGGACATCATGATTATCATCATCAGCGCCATCATCAGCATCATGATGATCATCCTGATCATCATCGTCATCATCAGCATCATCATTACTGTACGATCATATTCATAAGCATCATCATCACCATCATCTTTACCATTACCATCATCATCAGCAGCATCATCAACGTCATCATTATCATCATCATCATCACCACCATCATTAACATCATCATCGTCATCATCCGCACCATCAGCAGCATCATACTCGATCATCCATCCTCGATGCTCCATCTTCGATGCTCGATCATCGATGCTTGATTTTTGATCCTTCTCGATGCCCGATCCTCCTCGATGCTCGATGCTCAATTCTTGATCCTGGATACTCCCCCACCTCTTCAATGCTTCATCCTCCCCGATCCGCGAGGCTCGACCCTTGATGCTCTGCGATCCTCCCCGATGGCGGATCCTCCCCCGAGCCTCGATCCTCGCTGAACGATGTTCGCTATTTTTGTTCGATGCCCCTCGATCCTCCTCGAGGCTCGAGGCTCGATGCCCGATTCTCGTTGACTGGGGAAACCAAAAGGTACCGATACCGCTTACCCCCCAGACCTCTCCTGGGGTGCGTTCTGACTAGAATTTCGAGGCGAATCCAGCGGTGGCGACGAGGGTCTCCCAGGAGGCCCACAAAGGGGGAAACGGGCGAAGGGTAGAGTTATGGGTACCTTTTCCTCCTTTGATTGACCCTCCTCGGTCGATGCTTGCTGCCCTATGCGCTTCGGTCCCCCCCGACGCTTGGGCATGGCCCGCGTGCATCGGGAAACCTTGTGGACATCTCGAGCAAAAGCAGCCGCGGGCTGCCCACAACATGCGCAGTCGGGAACGAGTTGCAGAGCGCCAACCGAAAGCCTACAGCCCGCTACGCTGGTTGAATGCCCCCCTCCTCCTCCTCCTCCTCCTCCTCCTCCTCCTCCTCCTCCTCCTCCTCCTCCTCCTCCTCCTCCTCCTCCTCCTCCTCCTCCTCCTCCTCCTCCCCCTCCTCCTCCGAGCCCCTTGGCACGCTGAGGCGTGGTTGAATGCCAAATGCCGTCTGGTAGGTTTACGGCGGCGAGCGGCGGCGGCGAGAAGCGGCGCCTCTGGGCGGCGACGCTCGTCCGGTGCGCCACCTCCGGGTGCAGCGGGGGCTCCCAGCCTCGGCCGTGGCCCAGGCGCGGCCCATGCTCCTCCTCCCTCCTCCTTTTCCCTCCTCCTCCTTTTCCTCCTCCTCCCTCCTCCCTCCTCCTCCTCCTCCTCCTCCTCCTCCTCCTTATCCTCCTCCTCCCTCCCTCTCCTCCTCCTCCTCCTCCTCTCTCCTCCTTCCTCCTCCTCCTCCTCCTCCTCTCCTCCTCCTCCTCCCTCCTCCTCCTTCTCCTCCTCCTCCTCTCTCTCTCTCTCTCTCTCTCTCCCCTCCTCCCCCCTCCACCCGCGCCCCACCCCCCTCCCCCCGACGTTGTTGTCGTCGTCGCCGTCGTCATCGGCGGCGGCGACGTCGTCGGCGTTTCGTCGGCGGCGGCGTCGTCCGGAGGCCCAAAGACCCCCCAAGGAGCGAAAAAGCAGTCAAAAGCCAGGATGTCGAGCCTCTCTGTTCCCCTCCTCTTCTCTCCGATCGGCCCGCTGGGTGCCCCAGACGACGACGGCAACGACGACGGCGGTGACGACGGCGACGACCACAGAGAAGAGATGAGGGAGAGAAGAGAGGAGGCAGGGAGAGGAGTGATGAGGAGGCAAGGGAGGAGGAAGAAGAGAGAAGGCAGGACAATGATGAGGCGGCGGCGGAGGATGATGAGGAGAACACAGACGGAGAAGGAGGACAAGGGGAAGGACCAGGAGAAGGAAGATGAGGGATGAATGAACAATTAAAAGAGTAAGAGGAGGAGGAGGAGGAGGAGGAGGAGGACGACGACGACGAAGAGAAGCAGAAAGACGAGGAGAAGGAGAGGGAGTGAAGGAGAAAGAAGAAGGAGGATGAGGAGGAGGAGGAGGAGAGGGAGGGCGAGGAGAAGCAGGGAACAGCAGAGCAGGCCGAGCAGGGAACAGCAGGGAAACAGCCAAGCGGGGGGGAAGCAGGAGAAGCAGGGAACAGCCAAGCGGGGGGGGGGCGGGCCAGAGGCAACAGCAGAGCAGGAGCAAGGACAATTCCGAGATCCAAGCCTCCTACATGTTCTATAGTGAGATAAGCAGGCGACGCGTTGTCAGAACACTATGCTTCGGCTGGCAATCGAAGGGACACCATGTACAGCGAAAGCACTGCAAAATCCTTTCGGCGAGCACTGCTGGCAGTCGCGCCAGCGGTTCGCAGTTCGATGCTGTACGCACCGGCGATCTCGATGCCCATCAGCAGCAACGTGCACCATTTATTCGCGCACTGAGTACTTTTGAAGGCCTCTGCCAACAAAAGCGGGTGCGCCACAAGCCCGAGCGAGGGTCCAAGTAGTCCGAGCGGCCAACGTGCACCATTTATTCGCGTGCTGGGTACTCGAAGGCCTCTGCCAGCAAGCGGGTGCGCAGCAGGTCCGAGGGAGGGTCCAGGCAGTCGGAGCGGCCCACGAGGGTGCGGGCATGGTCCACGCGGCACCCATCGAGCGCAGCGCCAGCGGAACGGTGTTTGCCTCGATGTGAGGCCAGACGTGGGGATCGTAGCAACCGCATCGTCCAACGCCTGGCGCCAGACCTGGAGGTCCCGCGCAAGCGCATCACGACAGAGGGAGACAAAACGCCATGAGCACAAACTTTTGGCGCTCCGCGCGGATTGATCGACTACACGTAAGAGTGACCTTGGGTGCGGGCGCATTGGGGTCCCTGGATCGGCGAATGCGAGGCGACAGTCACGCCTTGCGCGCTTCGGTTTGGCCTCCCCGCGGCTCCCCGAAAGCCGCGCACCAAAGGTCACTCTTGCCCAGGGTCACTCTTGTGTGTAGCCGAATTGAGCGCGCCAGGGGGGGGGGGGCCCAGTGCAGATCCAAGAAGTCCGCGCGCAGATCCAGCGCTGGGACCCCCCTGGCGCGCTCAATTCGGCTACACACAAGAGTGACCCTGGGCAAGAGTGACTTTTTGTGCGCGGCTTTCGGGGAGCCGCGGAGAGGCCAAACCGAAGCGCGCAAGGCGTGACTGTCGCCTCGCATTCGCCGATCCAGGGACCCCAATGCGCCCGCACCCAAGGTCACTCTTACGTGTAGTCAATCAATCCACGCGGAGCGCCCAAACTTTATGTTTATGGCGTTCTTCTTTGGACGCCAGAAATGGGTACGGAAAAAATGGGCACGATGCCCAACAACAACTGTTGTCCCAAACCAACAGCGGCCGCTGTTGGGCAGGCGGCCTTCCGTCCCAGATGGACACAGGCCGCGGCGGCGCGGATTGCGAGTCCTGTGCAGCACGACCAGGAGCTGCTAGTGGGCATCGTACCCATTCTTTCCGAGCCCACCTCGTTCGTGCAGATCTTCTCCTTCGACACAGGACACCCCGGAAAGGGAAGCCGGCGCGCCCGAGCTCCACGGTCGTCTCCGGCGCGCGGGGGCGGTCTGGGCGGCGGTGGCGGCGGTCACGTCGCAGGCGTCGAGGGAGACTGGGCGGCGTGCGCCTCTCTCGCAGGGTGCGAGGACGCGGAGGAGCACGGCGGAGGACGGTCCACAAGAAACGTTCCACACGAAGCCCAACCCTGTTCCTCGTCATCCCTGTCCTCCTTTTCCTCCTCCTCCTCCTCAAGAGCGACTCTGGCCCAAGACACGCCTCAGCTCCGACCGCGCACCTGCTCATTGAACCCCATGTGAGCAGTACGTCCCAGGGCAGCACAGCGGGGCTGGGTCGTCTCGGGCCAGATAGTTGCATGGGCACACTACCTCTGAATTGGCTTCTTATAGTGAAGATTATCTTCCAGAACGTGCAGAGCGCGGATTACGCGCGCCTCGAGGAGATCTCTGATAACACAGCGAACAACGACTTGGTCATTTGCATCGGCACTGGCAAAGCGGCTCACATCGAGACAGAGATCACGCAGTGTCAGCTTTCTCATCACAAAGCTATACGGCTTGAATGGCGGAAAAGCAAAGTTACGAATCGAAGTTGTGGCTTAGCAGTATTGTACGGCGAGAGGCTCAACGGCACCGTAACCAAAATTCAGGTGCCGCCAAAGTCTCATGGACTATCTGGGAGATTGGGTTTGGTCAAGTTTCATTTGGGCAGAATGAGTCTTGCAGTGTTTGTCATTTACCTACCACCGAGAGGGACTGCTGCGAAATTATTACACAACACAGTCAAAGCGGCACTTGGTTGGATTCAGGATGAGATGAACCGCATGGGCAGCACTTGTTTACCGTTGATTGTGGGAGACCTAAACTGCATTTGGGGTCCGCACGGACGTCACGGGCAGGAAGTACGTACGGATCAGCGACGAGGTCGGAATACATGAGCCCGCATTGGAAGGCACAGTTTCTACTATTATACGCGAGTTCCTGGAAGAAAATCACATGGCGGTCGCTGACATATTTTGGACATCAGGGGCAACCTTCTTCCAGGGGATGCACAGAAGTAAGATCGACCACATCATAATGCCGCAGCCAGCCGCCCCCCGAATCACGAGACTGGGCACCCTGCAGGGACTGGGGCGGAGGCTGCAAAAGTTTGCATCCACACAGTTGCACGGTCACGTACCAGTCTTGGCGCAGATGGACATCGGAGTGCGCAGAGCCCACCAGGCTCGTTTCACACCACCCGCAAATAGGGATGCGATGATGGCGGCCTATTCCAGAGGTCACCGACGGCAAGGGTTTCCTCGGAAAGTCGAAGGTCGTGCACGGCAGGTCACAGAAAATGACTGGGGGCAGATTTGGGACCGTGGCGACGTGCAAGCAGCGCGTGACCTGCTCTCGGGATGCATTCGCGACAGCATGACATAACCTTTCCCGAAGCAAGCGAACGCCAAACATCGATTAAGAGCAGATGCGCGAACAGAGAACGAAACTTATCAGAGAGGGTGGCGACCTGCGAGAGCAACTACATCGCACTGGCAGCAAGGCCTTTGAGGGCAACGGCTCCAGCGAATTCGACAGAATCGAGCAGCAGTTGAAGATTATGACTCGCCGCATGCAGGGGCTTCGCAGACAGCACAAATCGGAGAAGATGGAGACGCTAGTCAACGAGATCATGAAGGCCTGGCGGAGTGGCAAACTGGCAGAAATGCACAGCATACGTGTCACACTCTCGGGCACTGGCAAGGGCCCCCAAAAAGGTACGACAGAATGGGAACTGGGATTGGCCCAAGCCCCGCAAGACGGAGGAATGCAGTGCACTAGATTAAACTGGGCAGAATGGCTCAGTGATCGCAGTTTTTTGCCACATCTACATCAACAGCCTGACCTTAGAGAGCTAGTGCGCGGCGACAGGATGGGGCAGATCGGGCATCTTCGTCAGGCACCTAAGCGGCGAGCGGGGCCGTCTTGGGGGGTACTAGCAGAGGCCCTCGGCATGCGCATTGATTACCGCATGTGCCGGTTTTCAAGGCGTAGGGCATACGCGCCAGAGACGCTCAGCAGGCGTTACAATGATTTGCTAGCTTTGATTGGGATCGTCGGATTCGCTCCGCTCACGTCGCTTCGCTCGCAGTCGTTCGCGCAGGCCAAGAACAATGGCAAGACAGGCATCGAGGGGCAGAGGGTCCTACGTTGTTTCGACGCGTTCGGCATGTCGCTATTCGGTCACCCCCACAAAGTTTCTCGTCGACCCGTACCCCCTGATTGCGCCCGCGGAGGTTTACGAGGCCGAAGGAGGGACGGATGCATCGTGTCTCTTTCGGCGGCGATGTGGAGACGCAGAGATGGGAAACGTAGTCACACTGTCTCGAACTTCGACGGATCGAACGCCTTTGTCTGCACCAAGAGGGAAACACTGAGAGAGCACCATGCACAGCACGGACGCACAGAAAACGTAGGGCTTCTGGACCAGGCAATCGACATGGCTAGTATCCATGCCACGGGAATCGACGGCGAGGTAGACCTCCTCTCCCACATAGGCACCACCATGGGGCACTCTTTGGCAGCGGGGGATTTCGTAGAAGTATAATCACCGACAGTTGCTAGCCGGAATGATGAATTAGCTGGATCTGATATTAGCTATAGTTGGCTTCGAGGTCCCTCGGCAATTGGTGGGGATGATCAGGTGGACATATGGGTCGGCACCTTCGTAGACGACGTAACGAGAGTACATATACACGCATGCGCACCCAATGGCAAGTACATCGCACAGCAGCTGAACCATGCAACAGAGAGACTGCAAGCACATATACAAATAAACGGACACCATTTGAACGCAGACAAGACTAACCACCTCATTGCCCTGAGTGGAGACGGCTCGTTCCAGACCGCCAGGGGGCTTGCTAGAAACCGTTTCCTCCAGGGAGAAGTATGCCGAGAACGCCGCGTCCTCGGGCCCATACTCAGTTTCGACGGCAAGCTGAGAACCGAACTCGAAAAGCTAATACGAGGGGCTCGAGCAGCTTGGCGATCCTTAGGCGCAGTTTGGCATCAGCCGCTACATCGCAGGCAGTTGAGGACACGTTTCATTTGTTTCGTGTACAACGCGGCCATCACGGGATTGACGGCCTTCGTGCTGCCACCAGACTTTACCAAAGCGCTGGACACCACTCTCATCAAATAACTTCGATGCCTGATGCATGGACGAGCTAGGCAGCAGTACGGAGATCGTGCCCGTACACTCAGCAATGCACAGGTTTTCGAAGATTGGGAGTTATGTGACACAGCCACAGAACTTCGTGTCCAGCGCTTAAGAGGTACCAGGCCATGGCACGAGAGCCGGAGAATCATCAGCAAGTGCTCATGGCCATGTTCGGCACCACGGAGCTAGACCGTCAGCTTGGACGGCCACGTCTCCAATTTGGAGGGCACCAAACACAGTACAGTTCACCGTGGGCACGGCAGTGCAAGCAAGACCTGCTGGCATTGGCAGCGCTGGACAGCACGTTCGGAGGCGATTGGCACGAGCGTGAACACGTTCTCAGCATTTTTACCAACAGGAACCTCGCCCTCACTTCCTCCAAAGTAGACATCTCAAAGAACAGGAGCCTCCTGACCCCCACAAGTGCAGCTAGAATGTTACGGGTACAGAGGTTGGTTGTACTTATTGCGTCGGAGGAGATGGGGGAGGGCGTCCAACACACAGCGACGCACGAGCACGACGGCACGAACAGCGAGCACAGCACAGTTATCGACGCATGGATTTGTACGCATGAGAAAGATGACGGGACCCCATGTGGCAACAAGTTGCAGACACTTACAGGTTTGACGGCGCACGCCACGCATGCGCACCATATGAGGAACATGCACTCTATGTTCATTTGCACGAACGTATGTCCCTGGTGCAAAACAGCCTTTGCCTCACGCGCGTCATGCTTACGACATTGCTTCACTATGGGCAAGCGAGTGCCGCGTACCTGCCCTACTCGCTCTACGTCCTTTGCTGTTCGGCCCATTGAGCAGCATTCATACGTGTGCGGCTACTGAGCCGCAGAGCATGCCGAACTGAACGACCATCTTGAGCACGTTCGCACACACGCAGAAATGCCCGATGGTGCAGAGCTGGAGAGCCGCGACCGACGGACGACGAGCGAGAGGACCCCCTGGACGGAAGCGTGCCGCAGCCAGTACGCAAGACGGCCCGTGGCGAGCCGAGGAAGCAGAGTGGCAAGTCCGATGGCTTCGAGGGGAGCGGCGAGGAGCCACTCGCCATGGAAAAGCTGACTCTCAACAACGCGCAGCAGATACGGGCCACCCCTGGCAGTCTCTGGGATTTCTGCTTGGCGGGGGGCGGCGAGCATCCAGCGATCCTGGCGGGATCGGGAGAAGGGGCCAGATACGCCGAGTGCAGCCAGGCGGGCGAGAAGGACCTGGGCGCCCCACGCGTACACGTGGCAGCGGAGTTCCTGGGAGCGCTTGGCAGGATGGACAACTTGCCGACCACGATCAAGAGCGACATGAAGAAGCTCAGCCTGGTCATGGACGTGATGGGATACGACGAGCTGACGGACCTGGTGAGTTACCTGCGTGTCAAGAAGGCTTATGCAGAGCAAGGGCAAGCAGAGCGCTGGAAAATACACATCATGATACACCCCCTGGGCATGACACCGTTCACGTCGGAGAACGAGGCCGAAGTCAACAAGACCCGAGAGGGGAACACCGAGAAGCCTCTGAAGTTCGACGCCCACAGCATCCCGCAGATCCGCAGCATGATTTACACGGCGATGAAGGCCACGGGCGGAAGGAACATCGTGGGAGCGCCTCCTCCCACCGCGCTCGAGAGGCAGGTGCGGACGTTCGCCCGCCAGCGGCAAGCCACGGCGTAGATATGGCAGGACTGCGCCGACAGGCGCAACAAGGCATCGTGAGGGCAGTGGAATCGTTGAAGCGCCTGGCGGGGGAACCCACTCCCAGGCAAGCGGGAACGATTGGTTTCTTGTTTGTATTTGCTCAGCACGGCTGGGAGTGTGCAAACCTAGCTGAGGGCCAAGGAGCCCGTGCGGAGATAGGACGAGGGCTTGTTCGCGGCGCGGAGCAGTGGATTTGTTTGACATAGGATGCAGGCCTCGCCCGTTCCGTCCTCGTCGCCACTACCCCGCTGGACCCCTGGCCCCAGGTCCCCGTCCCCTCTCCTGGCATCTGGCCTGGTGTCTTGAGGCGACTCTGAGGGACTCTAGGAGCTTACCTAGTCTGACTGATCTGTTTCTTTTTTTAGTGGGCATCGCCCGCAAACCAACTGGCGGGTGGGGAGGCGCGTGAGGGGGGGATCGGAGTGGGGAGGAGCTGCCCTTGCGGCAATCCTGACGCGTCGAGGTTTTGAAACATATTGTCTGAAGTTTGAGAGCCTCGCCCGAGTGTGCGGGGGATGCACCATGGTGTGATAACCTCTCACCCGTCCAGAGCTGTAAACGTATAGGATGGAAGTCAGCCCAGCGTCGAAGCGGGCCCGAGAGGCTCAATAGGCCATGGGTCCCGCAGGCATCCCTATGCAGCGCCGAGCCATCTAGCCAGCAGCGAACAGCTCGAGTTCCAGGCGAGCAGCCTCGTTTCAGCCGTCGGGACAGAGGCGAACCGAACTGCCAAGGCTTCCTCCTCCTCCTCCTCATCTTTGCCCTCCTCCCCCTCCTCCTCCTCCTCCTCCTCCTCTCTTCTCTCCTCCTCCTCCTCCTCCTCCTCCTCCTCCTCCTCCTCCTCCTCCTCCTCCTCCTCGTCCTCCTCCTCCTCCTCCTCCTCCTCCTCCTTTGCCTCCTCCTCCTCCTCCTCCTCCTCCTCCTCCTCCTCCTCCTCCTCCTCCTCCTCATCTTTGCCCTCCTTGCCCTCCTCGTGCCCCACCCTCCCCCACTACTGAGACCCCAGGACGTCCATCGATGTCTGGTGCGGGAGCGTCGCGCTCTCCACGGCGGAGCCATCGAGACCCAAGAAGCCCAGGGCGCACTGGAGGCAAGCAGGTTGCCCCTTGGCACGGGCCCCCACTGTAGCCAGTCTCGTCCTCGCTCAGGGTGCCCATTGACGCGCTATTGCCATCCGCGTGGGGGGCTCTGTGTGCTCCAGGGAAGAATCGACTGAGCCCTTGCGATCATCCTTCGCCTCCATATGCATGTGGGCCTCTGTGTCGTCGTCGTTGTGAGAACCAGGTCGAGCTCCCATCCATGAACGACGCCGCCCCGGGCTTCGTAATTTGGCGCGTCCAGTTGAAGGGCTGGGTCAAGGTCCCTCCGCTTCTTCACGAGGCAATTGCTACAGAGCTGAGCACGTGGAGCTGCCCTAGGCGCCTGGTGCAGGCCGTGGAAATGGGTTTGCAACTTCAAAGGGAGCTGCCGGAGGACGAGGCCATGCAGTTCCGTGATCAGCTCGGCCATGAGAGGAGAGCAAGCTTGGGTGTGGAAGCAAAGCGTGAGTCGAACTATACAACCCAAATGACGCTTGAGCCCACCTGGCTATGGAAGGATGAGGAGGAGGAGACGAAGAGGTGGGAGGAGGGGGGAAGAGGGAGGACGAGGCAAAGAAGGAGGGGGAGGAGAGGACAAGGAGGAGAAATGGGAGGACTGAGGACCGTGGTCGCGGCTGGAGCCAAAGGCGACGACCGTCCTGGATTCCGTGGTGGCGGAGCGCTCGCAGGGACACTAGGACACTAGGGCCCCATCTGGAACTCAGGATGACCACCATCTTGGTCGCAAGCTCGTCGAGCCTGCACAGAAGGGCAGGAATCGACAACAACGACGGCGAGGACGACCAAGATCTCCAGCGCGTTGATCTGTTCAGTCCAGGCGCCTCTTCCTCCACTTTGGCCTCCGGGGGCCGCTTTCGGGTCCCGGGATCATCAAACACGGAGGGACAGGGCTCAGACTTCGCCACCTGCTCGGGGAACTCTGGACCCCGCCCCTGCAGCCCACCGAGCTGCCCGAGTCGTCGATCGGCGAGGACGGGGTTCGGACTTCGCCGCCGATCCCGATCGCTGGGGCCGCGTATCGAAAGAATCACGTCGTCGGATGCCCAGGATGAAGGGGCCCTGGGACACGCAAATCAATACACACAAATGAAAATATGCCCCGTATTTTCCCTATATTTTCTGGGTTTCTGTCTTCCCCCCCACTTCCCATAGTCTCCCATATTTTCTGGGGAAATCGACGATGAATTGTGTCTGTGTGCTTTTTCTCCTCCTGAGTATTGAAAGAATCACGCCGTCGTCATGCCCGGGAGCGGCGGCGTCAGCGGCCCTCGGCGGGGAGGGGGCTCGCCACCGGATGAGAGCGGGCAGGGCTCCGCCTCCGCCGCGGGCGCTCTCGGGGGGCACCGCGCGGCGGAGACACGACGAGCTTTTTCGGATGCCATCGCGCACTCCTCGCGTCGATGACGACGACGACGATGACGACGACGACGGCTGCGGCGGCGGCGGAGACGAGGTCGAGGACGAGGTCCAGGACGAGGTCCAGGACGAGGACGACGACGACGATGACGACGACGACGACCACGACGACGATGACGACGACGACGACGAGGCGGCGGCGACGGCGGCGGCGGCAGTCAGCGCAGGCCCTGGCGGCGCCACTGGCGCCTGGACGCGCGGAGCGCGCCCCGGGGGCGGAGAGCCAGCGCCTCGCAGAGCGGGCCCCCAGGGTGCAGGACCCCTTCCCTGGAGGCCGGGCCTCCGCCCCGCGCCGCTGCCCGACAGGCCCACCCGGGGGCCCCGCGAGGGCGCCCCAGGGGGCCGCGGGCTGCCGAGGACCCGCCGCCGCGACTTCTCCGCAGCGGGCGGGGGGTCCGGCGTTGTCCAAGAAGGAAGGGGAACCGGGACACACAAAGAAACGGACACAGATGACCAGATTCCCCATATCTTCCCATATGTTCTGGGTCCTTTGTCTCCGCCTCACTTCCCATGTGTTCCCACGTTTGCTGGGGAACCGACGATGAGTTGTGTCTGTGTGCTTTTCCCCTCCTGGCAGAGGCTGTGTGTTGTGCGCCCTGCCCGCTCGTCGGGCGCGCTCGAGGCCGCACGTTTGGCTGGGCACTGCGTCGGCGGACCTCTGGGGACGGAACACGCGCAGGGCGGGGGGCACGTGATCAGGAACCAGTCGGCGAGGCATCCGAGGTCTGGAAGCTGGTGGAACTCCAACCGAGGATCGGGCACCCTCATCGGACGAGGAACCCTCGAGGGCCTGAGGCCTCCTAGACGCACGCACCAGCCGTGAAGGAATCTGAAGGAAGCGGTGCATCTGGCCCAGGCTCACGCACCTGGCGCAGGCACAGACAGGGGTGAAACACCCGCCCGTGCCTCTGCCGGCTACACGCAAGAGCGACCCTGGGTAGGAGTGACCTTTGGTGCGCGGCTTTGTGGGGGCCACGGGGGGTCCCCCCAAAAAGCGCGCAAGACGCTACCATCGCATCGCGCTCGGCGATCGGGGGACCCAATTGGGCCCGCACCGAAGGTCACTCCGGCGAAAGGTCACTCTTACGTCTAGTCGAATCTGGCGCAGGCCTGTGCTCGTTTGCAGCCGGGCGGGCCGATCATCCGCCGTCGGCCAGCCGAGGAGTCTCGGACGGCGGCGAGGTAGCCACAAGGCCTGCTCAGCTGCGCTCGGCACCGGCTGTGAAGCCTGACTGCAACGGCCAGGCCGGCCAGGCCGCGGACGGGCTGGCCAAACCTTTGACCCGCTCCCCACTAAATCACACGATAGGCGCACCCTCCCCTCCGCTTTCACAGTCTGGAGGAACAGCACACCGCATGCATATTACACTTCCAGGAGGTGCGCGCCGATCCACGAAGTCCGCGCGGAGCTCCGAAAACCTGCGCCTGTGTAGCTGTTCCTTTTCCGACAATCCCCCCGACACGGCGAGTGGACTCAGCCCGCGGTGCCACTCGGAGGCCCCCAACGTCCCGCCCTCGCTCTGCCCACCGATCGCCCCGACCCTTCGCGGGTTCAACCGCGACGGGCGCTTGCGGCTGCCGTGCCCTCTGGGCTGGTGACACCGGCGAAGCGGGCCCACCAGC